TCCACAGAGGAGAGGGAGATGTCATGGGAGACACATTTACATTTGTAAACTGCAATCAGAACTAATTAAATCCAACACAAATACTGATTAATAGAGCAGGGAACCTGATGCCAAGTCCCATGGCCCCACCCCAAATAACAGTGGCTTATTTTTAAAGAGGCAGATTTGCCTGTTCTCTTTCGCTCCCCATATCTGGTGGCACATCTCCAGGTCCCGGCTCCAAGGCATCCTGGCAGGCTCGCTGCGCTGGGAAGCAATATGGGGGAAGCCATCTGATGGCTGGAGTTCATTCTGCCCAAAACACAGCTTTTCTTTAAAACCTCATTGCTGGGACATCACAGCCTGGGGTGTCCCTGTTCCCTCCATCCACCTCCATCCCTGTTCCCATTTTGCACTAGGCCACTGGTTTCAGTTTGTTTCATTAGAGCTGAATTTATTGCAGTAAAGCAATTAAAATACTCATTACTGGTCTTGCCACCTTTACTACTCCCCGTTCCCCATGCACCATCCCTAACTGCTTGCTCCAGGGATGTCAGCTCTCCAATGGAAAAGGGGCTAGGAAGGGAGTCAGAGGTGCAGAAACAGCTCATGCCAGGGCTAGCTGCCACATGAGCTCATTGTCATCAACCCAGTGACAAGCACGAGCAGCAAGAAAATCCTTTGCACGTGGACTTGGTGAGAAAACCCCAAAGCACGTGGCTTGTGAACATGTAACATGAACAGAGCACAGAGCAGAGCCAGAGGGACACGGCTCGAAGTGGAGCAGAAAGCCAGTGTGTTTAAAAAGCAAATTATTGATTATCATGCCCGAGCATCGTGCCTTCCCACCGCATGCTGGAAGTGGGGGAGCAGCAAACCCAGAGCAGGAGCATCTGGAAGGCAGAGAGCAGCACTGGCATGGCCGGGTAGGGGAGCACACAGCGAGGGGGGCACGGGGCTGGTGCTCAGCACTCCCCTCCCCATCCCAGGCTTTGCTGCAGACCCTCAGCTCAGCCTGTGCCCACCCAGTTTCTCTGCTCCGGCTCCTTACAGCACCCAGATCACTGCTGGCGTGAGCGGACACTCGGCTGACATGGACTGCGGACAAGTAATTAATGTCCAGGAAGTGCCGTTGTTACAGCGGCTCATCTGGCTTTTCCCGCTGCAATGAGCCTTTACTGGGACCGTGCCTGGCCATCGCCATTTCCAAATCACAGCTTTTTCACGGTAAAAGGCTCTTTTCCCCCGACAGCCAGCAGGGGCTTTATTGTTTAAATAGTGTGAAATCCTTCTTTCTGAGGCCACTCGCCTTCTGGTCTACAAGAACAGCCTTTTGCAGCATCTAATGCTCCGTCATCCCCGATGCTGTTTGTCAGAGCAGCAGCCTGTCCACCCCAGCCCCGCTTTCCTGCTCTTCCGCTGCTTGCCATTGGGCGTTTGGAGAGAGGTGACGGCTGCCGGGGGGTGAGGACTGCCAGCCTCCGTGTCCCCAGGTGGATAACCTTCCCATTTCTTGCAAACAGCATTCCCATGCGGGAACAGGAGGTTTGGTCTGCTCATGCCTGCGTGGCGATGGCACCAACTCACTTGCCAGCATGACTGTGCAAAACCGATATTCTACCTTCAGCTCAACTTATTAACCCAGTGTTCCTTTCAAACAGGATATCACACCGCTTAATTATTTTTTGGCTAACGGTGTGCAAATGCCATCGATTACTGAAAGCACGATGCCGTTGCCCTTTGCGAGGCACTGGGATCAGGCTCTGTGTCACCCCTGACAGGAGCATCGTAAACCCGCACGAAGCGCATCGCCTATCAGTCACAAAAATTGAGGAGTAATTTGTCAAAGTCACAGCCGTGCTCAATAACCGCTTGGAGATGACTAAGTAATTAATCAATAATGCATTCTCACCTTTTCATTTCCCCAGGTTTCTGGGACTTGCACGGTGGAATGACTGGAAAAATAACAGAGCTGTCCAGTGGCTTTGGAAACAGCAGCTGGTGTTTAGCAGGCGTTAATCCAGCCCAGCCAGGCACCTTCCCTCCTCTCCCAGACCCGCAGGGTCTCCTCGCAGCCACGGATGCTCGGAAGCCCGTGTCAGGGCAGGATGTCACCAAAGAGAGCCTGGCACATGCAGGGAGAGAGGGACGGCATTGCCGAGGGGTTTGCGTTTCTGTCCGTGTGCCTGGATGATCCCATCCAAACCTTCCATGGATGGAATGCCACGGAGCTGATTGTAATCTCCAACTCCATTGATCAAAAACAGGCTTTGAACTCCCCCTGTAATCTAAACATCAGTTATCAGAGATACTGGTAATTTAGTCTAAATTCTTCTTTCTTAATGTTCTCGAAATAACATCTTCTCAAACACAATCCAAAAAACCCATCAGTGTAACAAAAAAATCCCCCTACAAGACTGAGCTGCTACTTCTTGAATGCCCTAAAAGTGATAATTTGGTCAATAAATGGTCAGATTTGCAGAGCTTTTCAACTCCGAATCAATCACTTTACACCCATTACTCAATGCCGAAATCCACCGAATGCATTGTCGAACTCATTGAAAACTTGTGTTAGTGATATTAAGTAATTAGTAAGATTAATGCTGTTGCAGGGCTATAACCTGGGCAGAATCCAGATTGATTAGAGTTAATTATCTTCTGCTGGCTTAAACAATGTATCTACTGTTTTCCCCACTATGCAAGAGCAGAAAGCATAGATGAAAGATTCCTTCCTCCGCGCGGTACACGCGGGGCCGAGCGCCTGCCGGGGTGTTTCGGAAAGACACCCCAAACCAGGGGGTGCCACCTCCTCCTCCAGGTCAGTTGGCTTTGTGCATCTGATCCCCCCATCCACACCGGCTGCTCATCCCGCTTCCCAGCCGGCTGCGTGACCCACGCGTCTCCACGCCAACACGTTTCCTCCGAATTCACCGATTCTACGCTGTTTAGCCCAGAGGGCTGATGCAATAACTTATGCACGACCCTGGCTTTCCAATCAACATTTCATTATTATAAATGATTGCAAAAGTTTCCATATTCTACATTTTGTCTTTGCAGAGAATTTTAAGCGCTCTTTAATTTTGTCCCTCGGTGCTGGCATGTGTAACAATCCTGCTGATCCATATTCATGTCCTCCCAGCCCTGCAAAGACTTCACAGCTCACGGAATTATTTTCTTAAAGAACACACCCACAGTATCTATTGTTGTTATTAATGCAATGTGATTTCGGCCCCTCTAATAATCTCAGGACATGAATCCCAGTGTATTTAAATAATTGATTGACTTAGAGCTCACATCCACCCACAAGTATTTAATTGGATCGTTACTTGATCCTGGCTCGGTGCAGTGTATCTGTTACCAAAACATCAATTCTGTGTCTCTGCGGACAGAATCCCTCTCCTGGAAGCTCAGAGGACCAGTCTGGGGAGCAGTGCAGAGGGGAGGGGGACAAGGTGACGGCGAGGGAGGTGGCCAGTCCTGCTCCACAGGGCACAGCCGGCTCCCGACACGCGTGGGGAAGCCGAGACCAGAGAAAAGCACATCATTAGAAGGCAACGGAGCATGTGCTCATTTGTCCACGTTTGCAGTTAGCAGACATTTATAAGGGGTGTCTGACATTCGGATTCAGGTCAACCTGCTAATATTATATTAACCTCTGGTGCTGCTGATGTGCACAGGGAAAAAAACCCAACCAGGCTTTGCAGGGATTTGACACGCTGCCCAAGTCATCTGCTGACCATGCTCAGCATGCTGCCAGCCGGAGGCACCGCCAGCTGCCCACAGCCGTGCCCCGTCAGCCCAGCCACGAACAGGGCTGAAGCTTCAGCGACTGGCCCTGATTCTGCATCCGTGCCGTTAGCATCCCTGGGACAGAGCTGCCCCAACCTCCGTGCCCTGCCAGGGCCCCATGCAGCTGTAATCCCGTCTCTCCCGCAGCCACAGGAGCTGCCCAGGTGGCCAAGTCCCATGCCCAGCGCAGGTTTCTGCTCCCACCAGCATCTCCCGGTGGCCTCGGTCCCCGCCGGCACAAGGGCTGCTGGAGCTGCAGCACGGAGCAGAAGACCCTTTCAGGAGAGCAGCTCGTGCCTCACAGCCCTGGGGCTCTGAACCTGAGGGCAGAGGATCAGGCCTCCCGTGGGACAGGCAGCCAGGGATGCAGAACGGGCCAGGAGAGCAGGTGCTGCATCACAGATTGAATGTGCCTACAAAGGCCAACAGAATCATACACATATTTTCCATTTTACCTGTTTGACCCATTAACTAACTACAGAATTCCCCTGTAATCCCCAGCAGATGGGCATCAAGGAGAAGACCTCTGGTCCTAGCTAATCCCGTTGTTACGAAGTAATGCTACAGAAATCAAATACCAGCACTAAATCAGGAGATTAACAACAAGCTGGGAAATGCACAAATTAAATTGCAACCTCCCTCGCTGCTTTGCCCAAGCAAATGGCTCCGTTTCTGCTCCGGCCACTGCAACCCCCTCAGCTGGAAAACGGGGTTAGAAATCACTTTATAAAAATGAGGCTCAGCTTTAATCCCTGATGCAGTCAGTAAGCAGAGCCTGCCAGGATGAGACGGTGCCCATGGGACCTCCCCCATCCCTGTCCCCACACATCTCTCGCCTGGGGAGGGGAGAGCATCCAGCTTTTCCAAATGTGCAGGGATCCTACTCCAGAGATAGAGCTGTGCCTGGGAGAAAAGATGAGGGATAAGTGCTGCCAGATGACCACATCTGGAGCTCAGGATTTCTGACTTTTCCTGCTGGCTTGGGAGCATTCAGGGATGAGGCTTTGCCTGCAGCGGGGTGGGACACAGGCACTGCTCTCTGGTGCAGTGCCACCTCCGCAGCCATCCCCAGGCTGTCCCACGTCACCCGCCTCAACACAGGTCACAGGGACAGGCCCTGGGCTGGAATTGGATTGGAGCAATCACAGCCGCTGGCAAAGCCAAAGCCTCCTGTGGGTCTCCCAAAGCCAAGTGCCAAAGACACGGTGCCGATGCTCTCCTGGCTTTCGCACCTCCAGCTTCTCCTGCTGCCGGGTCCTGCCCAGACCCAGCAGGCTGCTGCCGCAGTCCGGAGCGGGCAGTCGCTCCCGGGACAGCTAAAAGCAGCGGGCAGATGAGAGATGATGCAAGGGAAGGGGCAGCAGCCCTAGAGCAGCCGGGGCCAGGGAGAGCGAGGGGTTTCTGCAGGGAGGGCTGTGACTGCACATGGCTGGGGACTATGAGCACCTAGCAGCAAGGACCACCAACCCCAGGGACCCTCCTGGAGACGGCAGGACCCAGTCTGCGGGTGATCCCCGGCAGTGCAGTTTGCACCCCGACTCAATTATTATTGCACAGTAGCATCTGCATGAATATTTCATTCCCTCCCTTAAGAACAGCTCCACAAATGCACAGTTTAATAAACCATGAGGATGCATTTTTGGAAGAGCCATCTAATGCTTCACAGCCCCATCATCACTCATTAACCGGAGCGAACGCTGGGAAGTTGGGGTTTTATCTTGGGGACCCTAATGGAGTCCCACCGCACGTGAGGCAGCGGGGAAGGAGCCACAGCCCCCAGTCCCCGAGCCCTGGCAGCAGGACCCAGCAGCACCCAGGGCTGTGCCTGCCTCCTGCTCCTGGCAGGATGGAGCAGCGTGGGAATGCTGGAGCCATTCACTTACCCCTGCAGCCCCCCTGCCAAACAGGGATATTGCTACTGATGAGCATGACAGGGGGAAGAAATGAAAGTAGAGAGTTTCTTAGCAAAAGGCATTGGCAAACTAGAAAAATACTGAAGCCCACGTGCAAACAGACACGTGTCAGGAGCTGCGTGCACCCGCCCTGGCTGGAATCACGTAAGCTGGACCAGGTGGACTCCGCTGCTGCGCTAAGCTGGTCTGCTCTTCTGCATTCCTAGATACAGCATGGGAGCTACGTGGTAGCTTATTTCCCCCCCCCAAGAGCTGAGGTGATTCTAGCAAAAATCTTGCTGCTTCTGGAAAAGACAAAAAACTTTTTCTTGTCCTTGTTTGAATTCATCGGAAAAGCAGCACTAAACCAAACGGCCAGAGCGGAGCAAGCCGAGTGACAGCAGTAGATGGAGGTGGCAGAGATGACTTCTACTGCTTCCTGCTCCAGGGGAAGGGATCCAGTTAAGTCTCATGAGGAGGAAATTTAGAGACAATGAAAGAAAATGCTCCTCCAGCCCTAAACTGGGGCTGCAAGGGGCAAGTCCTTGGCAGGATGACGTAGGAGCGCCGCTGGCAGAAGGCCCAGGGATGGCACCAGTTGTAGCAGCCAAGCATCAGGGAAAGCCAACTGGATTTGGGAAGGGCACAGACCACCCCTGCCAGCACGCTCCGCCGGCTCGTGGTGCGGGTGCGTACACAGGGGTCCTGTTGGGGTTCCCCCCAACAGCACCCTCTTAGTGCTCCTGCTCCAGAACAGCTTCGGGTTACTGCTGACAGGTAGCGCTGATTTATATAGCAGAAATAAATGAGTCTGCTCTGCAATTTTACCTAATTTTGTCTCCCATTTCAATTTGCCATCTTTCAGCATAATGCCAGGTGGTTAATTATGTTTCCATCTTATTCCTCAGATAATGCCCCCCTTGTACTGCACATCGTAGCCGCTCAAAGGGTTTCATTTTACCTTTCATTTCACCTCCTAGCACAGCTCTAAATTTAGTCAGCTTGTAATTCTGGGGTATTTTATACATTATGCCTTTATTATTGTGAAGTAAAATGGAATCCTTGTCTTTTAATTCACTCTCTAATAATTTTCCACCAAGCCTTAATACAAAGGGTTTTTTTTTTCTTAAGACTAATTGAATGGGGTGTAATTATAATACCCAGGGAGATGATACTCCAAGTACCTTAACTGTGACAGTTTCCCCTGACTAATCGCCCCTTCGCGACTCGCAGATCTTGGCTGTGCAAGCTCCCCGACGGTTACTGCTGTGCCAGGACGGAGCTTGGGGGGATCCAGGCACGGTGCAGCTCCTGGGCTGGGGTCGCGAGGTTCCCGAGTCGCCGATGTGGCTGCGGGGGCTTCTCTGCTCTCCAGAGACCAGCAAAGGGGATGGGGTGTCCAAGGCAACCAGGCCACAGGGCTGGCACCGTCCCACAGAGGGACCAAAGACACGGGGCATCGCACAAAGTCCTCACCACAGGAGCAGCCAGCCAGCAGCCACAGCGCAGGGACGTTCCCATCTCCATCACCCTCCTCCTTGGCTTAACGCTCTGGCTACAGACGTTCTGCTGCTTGGCCAGAGGAGAGCGTTGAAAATCCAGAGAGCACGCAAGGGAGGAGTGCCAGGAGCCGTGCCAGGAGCATCCTTCCCAGAGAGACAGAGCCAGCACTGCTGCAGCGCTTTCCTCCAAAACACACGTACCCACTGGGAAGGAGCCGGGATTTTCCACATCTGCGCACTTCACCGTGACAGCGGAGCACAACAGGCGAGGTCAGCACTCACAGAGACACCAAGGGGCTATTTCCTCACTAAACCCTGCATTGCCCTACGCGGAAAATAAGCACCACGGGCGGCTGTTACGCAGACAATAAAGTGTTTTTGTATCAGCGCAGGTGTCAAGCTCAACACTTCTGCAGAGTGGCTCCTTCACAGACGAGCACACTCAGCCAGGCAGGGATGCTCCCAGCAACAGCCCAGCGTTTGCTATTAGGAATAACCCTCCACATCCCACAGCCAGGAACAGGGTGAGGGGACACACAGGCCACTCGGGGGGAGAGGGCAGGAGCAGGGGGACATGGCATGGCAGCAGCGGGGTGCAAAGGAGAAGCGCACAAGGCTCCAGCCAGTATCGGAGGGAAAGCAGGTCTTTAACCCGAGCTCAGCAGCCTCCAGCCCAGGGATTGTTTGGACTAACAGGGATGGGGTCTGGGGAGGGGGCACAGATATTTGGGCATGCCCAGGTGCTACTTTTTTGTGGTTAAGCTGCAACCACCTGAACTGAGGATATGCAGCAGGGATCTGCTCCCAGCACCACCACACGTGCCAGTGCCGGTACCCCTGCACAGCCCCAGACTGCTCACCTGCCCGTGCCCCAGGGATAGGGGTGCTGGCACCCACACTTCACACCAGGGGCTAGCAGAGAGCTCTGTAGCCTTGACAAGCCCTTGCTGCCACTTTCCAGATGTGCTCTGGGATCACCCATTCCCAGCGTCTCTCTGGTTAAACCTCCCTGGCCAGAATTCACCCAGTACAGGCTTGAGAGCAGGAACTGCAGCAAGGAGGAACGCCAAGGAATAACATCGCCAGAGACCTGGGAGCAGATGGAGGGGTGGGAAACCCTCCCCATGCTGGTGTAGATGGTGAAGCCAGCATCTGGCCTGAGGAGCAGGAGCAGTTAAAGCTCCCAGCTGATTTGCAGGTGTAGGGGCAGAGTGAGAGCAGACAGAAGCCCTCACACACCCCAGGGAGGCAGAGGGCAGCAGCCAAGCTGGGGCTGGGGCCATGGAGAACCCCAACAGACACACAGGAAAGCAGCACATCCCACATCCAAGGCACCAAGATACCTCCACTGCCCAGGACACCAGAGAAGGGCATTGTAGAGCCTCCCAGTAGCCCAGCACAAGCCAGAACTGGGAGAACAGAGAGACAAGAAGGTTGCTAAGAAAGCACAAAGCAAGAGTAGCTTCTCAGAGCCCCATTACTCCACCCCAGACCCAAGAGCAGAAGAACTAGCAGCTGAAGAAACTGCTCCCCCACAGACCTGGCAGGAGAGAGAAGGCTCAGCCTGGCCTCAGAGAGATATGAGGGAGAGCAAGTTAAAAGCAGTACCTCCTCCTCCTCCTGCAGCAGCATCCCACTCGCCCCTGCATCCTTAATTTAAGCTCTCCTGAGGCCAGATTGCCTATTGACCCCAGCTGCCTTTGCACTTCAGCCTTTAACCCATTCCCAGGTTCTGCCCCTTGCCCCCAGCCCCAAGGTCCATGGCTCCTCTGCCCCTCATTCCTTTCCTCAAGCTGGGGAAAGCAGCAGCTTCTGCTGACGGAGCTGTTGGGCCTGGAGGTACCAGTCCAGGTTCAGCTGAGTGAGGAGGCAGGGGGGAAATGCCGGCTTATTCATCCCAGGCTCCCATACCAGCCTCTGTCCTCTCCAGCCAGCATCCTAGAGCCGTGGGGTAAATTATCCGCACTGGGAACAGCACTCAGGAGATGAGCTGGATTGCCCTGGGCCAGGGCATAAGTTGTCCCATCCTGTCCCCTGCCCTTCCCCTCTCTCCTCACCAACACTGCCCCATGCTTGGGGGATGAGTCCTGCGGTTCTCCTCTGCAGGACAGATCCTCTGTTTTTCAACACTGGGAAATCTCTTGCCAATTATTCTGAATTTGTTGCTTTTTTTCTCCCTCCATATGCCATTTTTAACCAGTAAGATGTCCCACCAGATAGGGCTCTGCAGCAGGAGAGGTACAGAAAGCTGACGGTGGTTTTTTTTTCTGTATCTTTTGTCCATCTCAGTCTTTTCTCCCCAGGGAAGGAGGCTCCTGCCGTGCATTCCTTCTCCTGGTAACTTCTGCCCCAGGCTAGTCTCGCTCCCTTGGTGGAGGAGAGCTATCTCAGGGGTATTTTCGGTCATCCAGCCGTGCCAAGTCCAGGACAGACAGCCTCTGCACAGCTGGGACTGTCCCACCGGAAGCTCAGTGATGTCCCCCCATGGGACAGCTTGATGGCCCTGGGGGCATGGGCAGCCATGGGTTCCTCTTCTGTTGGGCTTTTCCCTCTGCTGCTCCTCAAACCATCCCAGCAGTGCAACAGGGAATAACAAAAACTGTATCCGAATGCGGAAGCCCTTTGCTGGGTAACCCAGCGGCTGAGCCTCGCAGGGCCCACGGCAGGACATCGCTGTGCCCGTGCTGGCCGCGCATCAGCAGCCGTGGCCCCCTGGCACAGCTACCTGCCCACCGGAGCAGGTTGTTGTCAGTCAGATCTCAGCATATGGAAACAGAGGGACATGGGCAGGCTCATCAATGCAGCAGCATCAGTGAAATTGAGACAGAAACCAGCCTGTTGAGCATCGCCCAAACCCTTCCTCTGCAGTTCGGCTAAAAGCAGGAGTGCGCCTTTCAATGCAATGTGCCATTAGAGAGTGGAAGTTACTGCCGAAGATTTTACTGAGCCAGAGGATTAGGCAGTTGCATGAGTAATGACAGTGGCTGCCACTGCACGAGCTGTTGGGATTAGGGGCCAGCCCCCCTGCCTCTGCCTCGGATCCAGTCGGTAGGAGGAAGAGTGCTCCCAAAGCCTCCCGGTGCTGCAGAATGAGCAGATCCTTTGCAGAGATTAAAATGAATTTATTATTTCACAGTCTGGTATTTACATCGCATCTGGAGCAGATAATTACGTACTCCGTTACAAAACCATCTAAATAGGGAGTCCTGCCAGCGGCAGCCGGAGCACAGAGGCAGTGGCTGCGCTCACCCAGGATCCCTGGGCACGCGCTGTGCTGCCAGCCCCCGCACCAGCTCCAGCCCCGAGCCAGCACATCCCTGTGTGGGTCATGGAGCGGGGCTGGGGGGGCACTGACCCCGCTCCCCACCACAATGCTCTTGCTCAGACCATGTGCCACCGGCCTGGCCAGTGCAGCAGCCCTGGGGTCGCCAGCCCTGCTGACATCAGGAGCACGGGGCTCCCATCCTCTCCGCCTCCAGCTGCCATGTCCTGGAGAAGGTCACGAGCCCATGGCCAGGAGATGGTACATTTTTCTTTATTTTTAATTAATGCGATAAAGCCTGGCTCGGTGTGGGGCTCTGGCTGGGCCTCTGCTCAGTGTCAGGTTTGCCAGACCCGAGGGCTTCCCCGCACGTTATTCTGAAATCCGACTGCAAACACGAGCAGTAACTCAGTGCCTGGGACTTGCACGGTGCAGAACAGATATTAAACTCACAGCTTGATTAATGCAATTACCAGGGAAGGAGAAACCAGCAGCATGCTCCATGGAGATGTTTCACCATCCCTGGGGGCTGTGGGATGTCTGACAGCCCCCGGTCACGCTGCTGCACCCACCACACATGGTCACAGCAGCCAGGTCACGGGGCAGGGAAAGCACAATGCTCTGGGGGTCGGAACAGCCTTCCAGGTGACACGAGGTCAGGCCCAGAGCTCAGCACTGGCTCCTGGGAATCCACTGGTCCAGGAGCTGTGAGCCAGACTCGGGAGGGTTTCACAGAACCACTGACTTCCCAGTCCCTGATGGCAATCCTGGGAGATGGGGAAAGGTGACTCACAGCAACGATTTCAGCTATTTCAGAATAAAGCCCATTTTGGGTCTGTCTGCACTGTCAACAGCTCTTACATGACTGGAGCATTTCCTTGAAGAGGATGGGAAAATGAGCCCATTTCGTGGTTGGTGAGTGTGTCCCCGGGGCAGGAGGGGACCGTGGAGCGACAGGAGTCTCGCAGCTCTGCTGGGGTCCCATACTGGCAGCCTCCGGGGTGGCCGGGGCTCAGCTGATGCTCTGCTCTGGTACCCGGCTTGGTCCTGCTAGCAGGTGCAGGACGGCAGCCCCGCAGCATCCCGCCTCCACAGGCACTGCACGCCGGACCACATCCTGCTGCTCCCGGCTCTGCGGAGCCGCGAGGACCAGTGCCC